GCACTGGTGCCCCCCGTCCTCCTGCCGTCGCCCCCCTCCACGCTGCTGGCCTACTCTCAGCCCCAGACTCATTCGCAGCTTCAGTCCCCGTCTCCGTCTCAACTGTTTGCATCAGCGCCCGGTAGCGGGCACCTCGCGCTGTCCCACCACACCAAGCCCCATAGCGGCGGCCCGCCGTGGCGCCCCGCGATAGTGTGGGAGGGCTTCCCCCCGTCCTCCAAGCACGTGGGGCCCGGGGCTACGCAGCTGGCGAGTCACATCGTCAGCAACACTGCAGTGAGCTAATGTGTATCACAGGGGTTAACCGTAGCCCATGGTTGCCACTAAGGGGGGGGGGGGCAACCCTCACTGTGCAATTCTTATATATTTCTAAGTATCTAACTCTTCTAATTATATTCATTGCTGCAGGAATGGGAGGCCCTACTACAAATGGCTGACATGTAGATAAACATTGGGTTCTTCAGATTATTATTTTAATTATATATATATATTTATATATATATAAGTGTATAAATAAAATCACGATCACGTGAGAACAAGTCATCAATAAAAATCAGTAATAGAATACACTTGCTACAAAACACAAATTTATATTCCCCTATTATCGTATGAAACAATTAAATCCCTGCTGTGCTGGAGTTTCTATGTCTTTTTCCCTTTGCAGAAAACCCAAATACTGTTGTTCGTCTCGGTATTGCCTTTATTCTGAGAAATGAAGATAATATTGTTTGCTGCATGGAATGCTTTTTACTGCATAAGCATCTTTTTTATTTACTCTGAAGTGTTTCTATGACATTTTTTCTGTTGAAAATGTTGTGACATCTAGTGTAAATTTAGCACTCGAATTCAACTTAAACATTCGGAGTTCCACGAAGGTAATTCTATCAATGAAAGATTAAATAAAAAAATTCCCTTTAAAGGTAATATATCTGTATTTTAGCACAGCTTGTAATAATACACTCTTGTATATTTATTTACCACAATTGAGATTTCTGTGTGCAACTGAAAGGGTGAAGATTCTATAGGGGTATCTGGAATAACTATTTGGAAAGATTATGCTTATTATTTTAAAATTATTTACTGTGTAATTCATTACATCCGCTTACGTACCTTGATTTCCACAGATACTTAATTAGCTATGTTTATTTAAGATAGCTAGGCAAAATAAGGGACTACCATGGTGGAAAGCTTCATTACACCATACGTAAAATCAATCGAGGTAGAAACAATAAAAATAAGGATATCCTTATAATATTTCTAATTTCGCATTTGGAAATATCCCTGCCGTTATATTATCCTTACTATTACTCATCTATTTACTGCTTTTTGAGGAACATTAAGTAACTATACATATTGTTGAGTATTCTTAAATGCTCTTAGAATAAACGTCAAGACGGGGGTGACTTGATGTAAATGGATATATGTAGCAGTCTTCCGATGGGTAGCTAACACGACATTGGTTTCTTCGTATTCACCTAAGCCGAAGTAAACAAAAGGAAATCCAGGGGTCTCACATAATTGTGAGAAAGGATAAGTTATGCCCTTTTTAAAATGAAATACATTATGTTTTGTTGTCGTGGTTTCGGCATTTTTTTTGCGTTTTTTTCATTGGGCATTCGATCTTGTTATATATGTAGATGATGTGTGGGAAGACAGGTGTTGCACGCTTCATATAGATACGAAGTCCGTATCATCACTAGCTTCTTTTCATCACCATTCAGTGGAATACATTTGTGATAAACTACATAATGATTGCTTCTTGGGCTTTGATATGCGGGAGTGAGGACCTTAAACATAAGTGTAAATGCAATCCCAGGTCATATAGTTGATATCAAGGAGCAATTACTATATTGAAAAAAGTTCATCAGGAGTTTTTTGCCTTCCCAAATACAAGTTCTTTTCACTTTTTTCTGTCCTTATATGCGTGAACCTGAGGCTACAGATGATTGTATTTAACTTTCTCTTTATGTGTACAATTTTTACAGTCATATCACACACACTTTTCTTTATTATTAGAACACAGAAAGTTAAGCATGGTAAGCATTTGATCAATAAGGGAACCTTACCTAACGCATTTTAAAGAATATAATTTTCCAAAGCGGAGAGTAAGCAAGCTTTTCTTCTTGGTTTTAGAATCACTCTGTATACCATTTTGTTTCCATTTGAGCCACTCATTGCATCAAAAACAACCCAACTCTAAATTTTAGATCAATAGATATAGCGCAACATATTGTCAATAGCTGTCGCGTAAATACATTAGCTTTTAGTGGAAAAGGTCATGCAACAAAACCAGGAGGAGCGGCGTGTTCGTAAGGAGCGTGAGAGGGCTGAACGCAAAGCCCGGGAGGCAGCTGCCGCTTCTGGGGCTAATGGAGTTGCTGAAGGAGGGAATGAGCGCCGAAAGGAGACGGAAGAGGAGCGGCGTGTTCGTAAGGAGCGTGAGAGGGCTGAACGCAAAGCCCGGGAGGCAGCTGTCGTCGCGCCCAGCAATGAAGAGGAGAACAATGTAGATAACAATAGTAATGGAAAGGAATTAACTCCGACCACTTCTCCGACGAACAACGATTTTGCTGAAAGCCTATCACGAGAGATCAATATTCTTATGGCTACCATTGAGGAACAGAATCGTGAGGCTTCTCTTCGCAGTCCATCATGGTTAAGAAGAAACCAATATGAGACAGTGTCTCCCAAAAAGGAAAATATAGAGGTCCATGAGCCATCAGTAGAGGAGAACGATGTAAACAACTCAGATATAGACAGACGCGTCAGCGATCGGAGAAAAGACAGAAAACAAAAGAAACTTGAAGATGGTGAACAAAGCCCTTTTCCGACTATGGATTTTATCAGGGGCGACAACTCCTCAACCACGATGCAGGACTTGCGGCGACAGGGGTATAGTGCCCAATATGGGAAGGATTTAGAGCGCGCCACGGTGCTCCGACGTCTGGTGGACCTCGACGACACAGGAGTGGTGTTGTTCGACGCGGCACCTCAATCTGAGTACGATCTTTATATTCGCAGCTTCAGCGAGAGTGGGAAGCGGCAAGTATGGGTACAGGCCCCGGCGGAAGAGGATTTCATTGACTGTGAGGTCCAGGTCGATCGTGCGTATCGAAAGCGAAAAGCGATACAGGTGCCTGAAGATCTGTTCTTTTACTCCAAACACCCTATAGAGGGAAATGACGCAGATGTTGATAAAGGTGAGGTTGAAGATACAAAGGATGCTCTTACAGAGGTGTTGACCCCGTCTGTAGATCCCAATCTATTGGTGAATTACATTCACCGCGTGCTCCCCGTCATGAATGCCGTCTTGGACTCTCAGTCTTTTGTACAGAAGGAGGGTGCTGAGGAGATGTTGGGAGTCGACAAAAACAATTCTGGAGCCTCTTCTTTAGCTTCTCTTTCTTATGCCTGCACTACTTACAGCTTTCCTTTGACTAGCAAACGGTCGTTGCTGAAGATTCGTTTTAGTTACCCACCTTCACACCTCGTAGCGGTTCTCTACAGCAAGGTACAAGAAGTGGTTTGTCTGTCTGAGCTCGATCGATACCTTTCTGTAATTGTTGTTTGGAGCATCTTCGACAACACGGAGCCGGAGCGAATTCTCGTGAGCGATTCTAGCTTGTCGTGCTTCTGTTTTAGCCCAAGCCGACCGGAACTGCTTTATGGTGGTTCTGATAATGGCAGCATCTGTGTGTGGGATTTACGTGAGCCGGACCATCATCATCTGTATGAAGGATGCTACCAGAGGTTGGTGTTCCGTCTACCCTCCTACTCTTCGAGCTGGAATACGGATCAACATTGCTCACCTGTCCGGCAGCTGTGCGTGGTTGGTTACAATAACGCCGTTGGGGCGAAACGCGAGGGGGGTGAGCAGGTAGCCTCGCTTGATACAAGTGGTGAAGTGAGGTTTTGGTCTGTCAGTGATAGGGACACTCGCTCCAGAACAAACGTCAACCAGAACGAGCACGGTGTTCACATCTTTTCAACCGTCAAGCTCTCATTGGTTGGGTCGTCTTCACGGGTCGGTTACGACAACGCGAGTTCGACATCCGACCTCTCCTCGCCTGCTTTATCCTCTCTGCAGCCTCCCTACTCAGGGTCTGGATGGGGGGCAAGTGCGTTGGACTTCACACCTACGGACGCTTCACGTTTTGTAGTGGCGGTACCGAAAGGTATCCAACATTGCAGCCGCTACGGAGGCATCACGGTCCCGTCCCTATACGGTCCTTCTTCCCGCCACTTCAACCAGCCCATCGCGGTACCGTGTTGTGTCCAATTCAACGTTTTAGATAGTCGATTTCTTGAAGCAGGCTACGAAGACGGCACTGTGCGTTTGTTTTTGCATAATCAAAAAAGCCCTCGGCTGATTGTCGCGGTGGCAGGTGCAGGGGTCCCTATTATCGAGCTGCGTTGCTCCAGCACTGCGCGTTGGATCACGCTTGTGTTGGATCAAAACAGTACACTACACGTACTGGACCACGCACACAAGAATCGGGAAGAGCCGCAGTTCTCGTTTCCCCTCGCACAGACCGACACTGGAGCATGTCTTTGCATGGACACCCCTGCGGAGTTAACGTCTTCGGGAAAGCAGCTACTGGCGCTTGGGTATGAGAAAAACATACTTCAAGTGCACGGCATTAACATAGCAAATCTGCAAGCCCCCCCTGCAGAGCGTGATGAATCTTGGCTCTGACGAGCGTCAGACATCATGGTGTTGATGAGCTTCCTTTTATTTTAACATATCACTGCTCGATTTAGCGTACATAGGTTGTTGTTAGCATTATATATGTAGATATATATATATATATATTTCCTTAGCGCATCACATGATGTAACGAGAGGGAGTTATCTTTTTTTTTGATGCATTTTTTTCTGTTTATTAAGGAGGTGCCAATATCCTATTCGCAATGTTTCAGCATTATTTATTAATGCTTATCAAATATCTTTTTTTTCATCGTACAAATAGCTTTTGAGTATCCATCCCAAAACTATTTGCGCACTTTCTAAACCTGTCACCAATTATAAGCAACTCAATCTGATTTCTACTGATCTTTTATTGTTCTTGTTCCTACTTTCATTTTGAT